TGATGAGCCCAAATTTGAGATTTTTGGTTCCAACCACCGTGTCTTTGTGAGACGCAGAGTAGGTGAACGGATGATGTCCGCATGTGTGGTTCCCACCGTGAAGCAAGGAGGAGGAGGTGTGATGGTGTGGGGGGGCTTTGCTGGTGACACTGTCAGTGATTTATTTAGAATTCAAGGCACACAACCAGCATGGCTACCACAGCATTCTGCGGCAATATACGCCATCCCATCTGGTTTGCGCTTAGTGCATTGCTGGAGGGTCATGTCAGGATGAGCCTGCAGGAAGGGTACCACATGAGGCAGGAGGATGTCTTCCCTGTAACGCACAGCGTTGAGATTGCCTGCAATGACAACAAGCTCAGTCCGATGATGCTGTGACACACCGCCGCAGACCATGACGGACCCTCCACCTCCAAATCGATCCCGCTCCTGAGTACAGGCCTCGGTGTAACGCTCATTTTTTTTTTTTTTTGTATATTTTTTTATTTAACCTTTATTTAACCAGGTAAGCCAGTTGAGAACAAGTTCTCATTTACAACTGCGACCTGGCCAAGATAAAGCAAAGCAGTGCGATAAAAACAACAACACAGAGTTACATATGGGGTAAAAAAAAAAAGTCTAAAAATACAACAGAAAATATATATACAGTGTGTGCAAATGTAGCAAGTTATGGAGGTAACAACGCAAATCCGACAAACGCAAATCCGTCCATCACCCCTGGTGAGACAAAACCGCGACTCGTCAGTGAAGAGCACTTTTTGCCAGTCCTGTCTGGTCCAGCGACGGTGGGTTTGTGCCCATAGGCAAACTTCCTTACAACAGGCCTACAAGCCCTCAGTCCAGCCTCTCTCAGCCTATTGCGGACAGTCTGAGCACTGATGGAGGGATTGTGCGTTCCTGGTGTAACTTGGGCAGTTGTTGTTGCCATCCTGTATCTGTCCCGCAGGTGTGATGTTCGGATGTACCAATCCTGTGCAGGTGTTGTTACACGTGGTCTGCCACTGCGAGGAAGATCAGCTGTCCGTCCTGTCTCCCTGTAGAACTGTCTTAGGTGTCTCACAGTACGGACATTGCAATTTATTGCCCTGGCCACATCTGCAGTCCTCACGCCTCCTTGCAGCATGCCTAAGGCACGTTCACGCAGATGAGCAGGGACCCTGGGCATCTTTCTTTTGGTGTTTTTCAGAGTCAGTAGAAAGGCCTCTTTAGTGTCCTAAGTTTTCATAACTGTGACCTTAATTGCCTACCATCTGTAAGCTGTTAGTATCTTAACGACCGTTCCACAGGTGTATGTTCATGAATTGTTTATGGTTCATTGAACAAGCATGGGAAACAGTGTTTAACCCTTTACAATGAAGATCTGTGAAGTTATTCTGATTTTTTACTAATTATCTTTGAAAGAAAGGGTCCTGAACAAGGGACGTTTCTTTTTTTGCTGAGTTTATTTTGTACCAATGCAGTGTCCATGTTTCTTTGTCATGCATAGTAACCAGGTCTGTTTGTGCTTTAGTCAACGTCTCTATCATTTATAGCCATGCTAAACATTCCAGAAGAATGGAAAAGATAAACAACAGCATTTCTACAGTCGTGGTCAAAAGTTTTGAGAATGACACAGATATTAATTTTCACAAAGTCTGCTGCCTCAGTTTTGGAAATTTAAAAGGAGGGTGGTGCTTGAAATCATTGTTCTTCCTCTGTAAACCATGGATACCTGCAAGGAAACACGTGCCGTCATCATTGCTTTGCACAAAAAGGGCTTCACAGGCAAGGATATTGCTGCTAGTAAGATTGCACCTAAAATCAACCATTTATCGGATCATCAAGAACGTCAAGGAGAGAGGTTCAATTGTTGTGAAGAAGTCTTCAGGGCGCCCAAGAAAGTCCAGCAAGTGCCAGGACCATCTCCTAAAGTTGATTCAGCTGCGGGATCGGGGCACCACCAGTGCAGAGCTTGCTCAGGAATGGCAGCAGGCAGGTGTGAATGTATCTGCACACACAGTGAGGCGAAGACTTTTGGAGGATGGCCTTCTGTCAAGAAGGGCAGCGAGGAAGCCACTTCTCTCCAGGAAAAACATCAGGGACAGACTGATATTCTGCAAAAGGTACAGGGATTGGACTGCTGAGGACTGGGGTAAAGTCATTTTCTCTGATGAATACCCTTTCTGATTGTTTGGGGCATCCGGAAAAAAGCTTGTCTGGAGAAGACAAGGTGAGCGCTACCATCAGTCCTGGGTCATGCCAACAGTAAAGCATCCTGAGACCATTCATGTGTGGGGTTGCTTCTCAGCCAAGGGAGTGGGCGCACTCACAATTTTGCCTAAGAACACAGTCATGAATAAAGAATGGTACCAACACATCCTCAGAGTGCAACTTCTCCCAACCATCCAAGAACAGTTTGGTGATGAACAATGCCTTTTCCAGCATGATGGCAAAAGTGATAACTAAGTGGCTCGGGGAACAAAACATCGACATTTTGGGTCCATGGCCAGGAAACTCCCCAGACCTTAATCCCATTGAGAACTTGTGGTCAATCCTCAAGAGGCGGGTGGACGAACAAAAACCCACAAATTCTGACAAACTCCAAGCATTGATTACACAAGAATGGGCTGCCATCAGTCAGGATGTGGCCCAGAAGTTAATTGACAGCATGCCAGGGCAGATTGCAGAGGTCTTGAAAAAGAAGGGTCAACGCTGCAAATATTGACTCTTTGCATAAACTTAATGTAATTTTCAATAAAAGCCTTTGACACTTATGGAATGCTTGTAATTATACTTCAGTATACCATTGTAACATCTGACAAAAATATCTAAAAACACTGAAGCAGCAAACTTTGTGAAGACCAAAACTTTTGACCACGACTGTATATTTGTTTTATAGTTTATATAATAATTTAATACAATAATATAATACAATGGGTTCTGTCAACAAAATCATTGACAATAATAATAACCAATAATGAAATCATTATAATCAGTAAACTCTTCAAGCAGTGTGTGTGTGTGTGTGTGTGTGTGTGTGAAAACTAGACATCACATTCTTGCTTCCTCTGTCTTTGTTTCCTCCACTCCTTGCCTCTCCTTGAAAGTGCATTGGAGCCCAAGGGGAGGAACCTTCCCTCCTCTCCCCAAATGTGCTGTGAGAGGGAGGTGAGGAATGGAGGAAACAAGGGGAGAATCTCAATTGCATTTCCTTCATTCCTCACGTCCTCTCTCCTCACCTCCTTCTCAAAACCCATTGGATGAGAAGGAGATGAGGAGAGAGGATGCAACAAATCAAGGAAATGCAATTGAGATTCTCCAAGGACAGAGGAAGCAAGTATTTGACAGCTATTAGCTCCCTCTCCGTATTTGACAGCTATATCTCCCTCTCTCTCTCCCTCTCTCCCGCACCTGCTGTCTCGACCTCTGAATGCTCGGCTATAAAATGGCAACTGACATTTACTCCTGAGGTGCTGACCTGTTGCCCCCTCTACAACAACTGTGATTATTTATTTGACTCTGCTTGTCATCTATGAAGGTTTGAACATCTTGAAGAAAGATCTGGCCTTAATGGCCATATACTCCACCCGGCACACTCAGAAGAGGACTGGCCACCCCACAGATCCTGGTTCCTCTCTAGGTTTTTCCTAGGTTCCTACCTTTCTAGGAAGTTTTTCCTAGGCACCGCAATGCCAGGTTTCCTCCAGAGGTGACGCTTGGCATTCTGGCCCAAGAGTTCAATCTTGGTTTCATCAGACCAGAGAATCTTGTTTCTCATGGTTGGAGAGTCCTTTTGGTGACTTTTGGCAAACTCAAAGCGGGCTGTCATGTGCCTTTTACTGCGGAGTGGCTTCCAACTGGCCACTCTACCATAAAGGCCTGATTGGTGGAGTGCTGCAGAAATGGTTGTCCTTCTGGAAGGTTCTCCTATCTCCACAGAGGAACTCTGGAGCTCTGTCAGAGTGACCATCGGGTTCTTGGTCACCTCCCTGACCAAGGCCCTTCTCCCCCGATTACTCAGTTTGGCTGGGCGGTCAGCTCTAGGAAGAGTCTTGGTGGTTCCAAACTTCTTCCATTTAAGAATGATGGAGGCCACTGTGTTCTTGGGGACCTTCAATGCGGCAGAATTTTTTTGGTACCCTTCCCCAGATCTGTGCCTCGACACAATCCTGTCTCGGAGCTCTACGGACAATTCCTTCGACCTCATGGCTTGGTTTTTGCTCTAACATGCACTGTCAACTGTGGGACCTAGACAGGTGTGTGCCTTTCCAAATCATGTCCAATCAATTGAATTTACCACAGGTGGACTCCAATCAAGTTGTAGAAACATCTCAAGGATGATCAATGGAAACAGGATGCACCTGAGCTCAATTTCGAGTCTCATACTAAAGGGTCGGAATACTTATGTAAATAAGGTATTTCTGTTTTTTGGTTCGAATATATTAGCAAAAATGTGTCATTATGAGGTATTGTGTGTAGATTGTAGAGGATTTTAATTTATTTAATTCATTTTAGAATAAGGCTGTAAAGTAACAAAATGTGGAAAAAGTCAAAGGGTCTGAATACTTTCCGAATGCACTGTAGTCCAGTTTGACTGACATAGTATGGCAGATAGGACACTTAATCGCTGATTATGGGCCCTGGTCAAAAGTAGTGCACTATACAGGGAATAGGTTACCATTTGGGACACAACCGGTGTCTTTTGAGACGCAGACTGGAATCTGTATTAACAGGTCCTGACATGGTACCAGAAGGTCTCTTTGGCTGTTACGATAGATTCAGATGGTTTACTAGTTTCAGCAACAACAAAAACTCCAGAAATCGATCCTTTTCAAATGGAAGGAGACACGAAGAGACATTCTAAGATTTAACTGTTGGCGACTACAGTTGCAAATTTCAGTAACACGACTTTGTGATAACCAATCAGAAAAGGGAAGCTCTCACTAGCAGCTTTAACACTGTGCTTGATAGGCTACCACCAACGGTGCTGTTTCACATGCTGTAAAAAAAGAAACACCCACAGGGGGGAGAGCACAGGTAGTGAGCGATGTGAATCTACTATCTACCTGGAAGAAGGAGGAGAAGACGTGGAAGGTGTAGATGGCGCAGGAGCCATCTGAGTCGGACACCAGCTGGTTGATGTGCCTCCGCCACGCCTCCTCGGCGTCATCGCACACCGCCGGCTGGAACGCAGCCAGGATGGCCGAGAAGAAGGGTGACGGAGGAGGGGAAGAACGAGACTCCATCAACTCGTCTCTCTCCTCCTCACTGAGACTGGTGGGGGAGACCAGGCATACACATCAATCAGAACACACATGAAGAAATAGCAGCACTTTAAAACACTTTTCAGACTATCATGCTGACCAGAACCATATTGTGCTGGCTTACATAATATTATTTTCACATTCAGTAGTATGAAAAGGGTATAAATACTGACAAAAGCACTATTGCAGGTTTGATGAGACTTTCATGATCAAACTTTATGATCAATTCCATTACAATTCATAAGCATTTATTGGCCTAAAATGTATAATAATGTATAAAGCACTTATAAACACGTTTATAAGCGTTTGTAATGGCTTATTCACAAAAATGAACTATAAACACTTTCATTAACCACGTTTTCTTCTAACTGACCTGAACAGTGCTATGTACCTGGGCAGACAGCTGAAGTCCAAGTCCAGTTCTCCTCGGTAGTCTCCTGGAGCTAGATTTTCCAGGCTGAAGCTGTCGCCGCTGCAGGTAAACCCCGGCGGGAGGTCACTGATGGACAGGGATAGGTCATCCTCATGGATGTTCGTGTCCTCGTCTTCTACTGATGCCTCAGCCTAGAGGGAGAGAAGAAAGGAGGGAGGGACTTACTCGAAGTGCTGGCATCAGATGGTCAATATCAGGTTGTGTCCCAAATGGCACCCTATTCCCTATGTAGTGCACTACTTTGACTAGGGCCCATAGGGCTCTGGTCAAAAGCAGTGCACTATATAGGGAATAGGGTGCTATTTGGGACACAGCCTCAGTGTAGTACCCCCAGCCAATTCGATCTATTCCAGTACCACGAAACTGGCTGTAGGTACTTGAGGACAGGTTTGGGAAACACTGGTCTATGTAATTTAATACAACACTGATGGTGTTCTACTGACGGAATGCAGTGAGTGACGGTAAATCACTGAGAGCACCTCAGTGTAAAAGCACTCCATGAATCCATTATTTTTATTATATACACTCAAATATACTTGATGATGTGCTTCTGGGGGCATATTCATAACATTGCTTAATGATGTGAATTACTTCTTAGAAAATTCTCAGAATTATGACACTTTCCTCCTAGGAAAGGTAAGGTAAGACATTTTCTGAAAGTACAGTATTAGGAATAAAATATCTGCAAACTGACCTTTCTAATGGACAAAGCAGCACGCTGTGTTTCTTTCAAATTTGGTTATGTTTTCACAAGTGTGTACAAATTATACCAATTGTTTCAAATGAAATGTTAGGAGTCTGGCCATAAACACTCGTGTTAAGACAGTCAATGTGTAAACCTTCATTCACCTCCCCCCCAACCGACAAGGAATAGGTCTACACATTGCCTTCAAGTTTAAACCTTGCTACCATACAACCGCAAAACCCCAAGAACACAGCAATCCTATTCCTCAAAAGATAGTAGAGAATAGTATAAACGGAAGCATTTGCAGCACCAACCAGCCCATGACCCAACAAATTAGATAAAGGTGTTAGAACAGGTATTAGAAGATTTTGCTGTGACATGCAGCTGACTAGAAGCTCTATGAAAGACTGGGTCCTGCCATATCCTCTCTGGAGAAAATCTTGAAGATTCACAGAGACATACACATAATACCTTATACTTATAATACATCAACACTTATGCCTAAAATCTAACTGCGAAAGGAGAGGATATTTTTTATTTATTTGGCGGCAGCGTTAGCAGAAGGAATAGGAGTGAGTGGGCGCCCATATCTCAGACACTCAGAAGTCCTTATTCACCCTCAGCATTGAGTTCTCTGCCAGCGAGACCTCGAAACTGGAAGTTCGGGTGTGCAGAGGGGGAAGAGGAGGGTCAGCGGCCGAGTTGTCGAGGGAGGTGTACAGAGAGTCCAGTTGATTGACCTCGGTGGGGGAGAGATTCACAATCTGAAACGAGACAAAGGTACAGCTCAGAGTCCTCCTCCTGTCTAATCATCAGACCCGGGTTCAAATAGTATTCGCTTTCTCTCAAATATTTGGATTGAGCGTTCGGGCGAGGTTTTCACTTTTGGAACTATTCCATTGGTTCCATGGCACCATGTGAACTCGACTGAGCTTGAAGTATTTGGAAGAAAACAAATACTACTTGAACCCAGACCTGCTTGTCAGGACATCATGCGCGAAGCAACTGTTGTGAGAGCAGAGAAAACCATCTCACAATACATAAAGTATAAACACAAAGTATTTGAGCAGAATGTATGAGATAAGCACAGAGCAGCTGAGCATGTGTCCTAGCAATTGTAACCGCTGATACAGGGTCAGATATGATTTAATCCCCCCCCCAATAGTTAAGGTTAGGATTGGGGGGGTATGGTAATCTGATCCTAGGTCTATGGTTAGAGAGACGTACCACCTGGGAGTGAGAGAGGATCTGGCTGGCAGTGATGGACTCTTCCTCTGAGGATTCCTCTGAGTCCTGGTGGGTGAACTGGCCTAGGCTGGGCCTGCTGCTGGACAGCTCGTTGTTGTCCAGGGGCACCAGGTCACTCCTGTCCAGGCTATCCATGGAGCGTCTCCGCACCCCCCAGTTGAAGCTGTCCATCGTCTCCCCCTGCAAGGACGACACACACAGCTTTAAGAAAATAGACAGATAGACCACACAGAGCCAGATGCCTCACACACACACAAAGGGGTCTACATTTTACATTTTTGTAATTTAGCAGACGCTCTTATCCAGAGCAACTTACAGTTAGTGAGTGCATACATTTTTCATACTGTGTCTACACACGCACACACACACAGGGGTCTACACACATGCAGGTATGTATGCATGCACGCACACGCACACGTACATGTACGCACGCACACACAAAGGGGTCTACACACAAGCACGCACGCACACACACACACACAGGTCTACCCACACAAACGTACGCATGCACACACACAGTGGTCTACACCCATACATGTACGTACTGTATGTATGCATGCATGCACACGCGCACACACAGGGATCTACGCATACACACGTACGCACGCACACACAAAAGGGTCTAGAAACAAGCACACACGCACACAGAGAGCTGTACTGAGCTGTACTACATGGTTACACATTCATCAACCACAGTTGCTGGAACTGTGCTGATGGACCATGTGAACAGAAAATATCCAAGACAGCACAGTACGGTTCGGCACAGTCATGTGAAAAGAGTAGCCTTTTAGTGCATCATCACTCTAGAATCTACTTATTTCTTATTCCTGCAGGCAAGGGAAGTTTAACTACTAGGTGTACGTATTTACCAAGATGTATATCAGATTGTTCTGCCCTGCTGGCTTCATTACCAGTCAGTAAAACACAACCACCCTCAAGAAGGTGGAGGTTTGGCACATACTTACTAAATAATCCCACATTTGTAACATTTCTGAACACTCATATAGACATATTTTTTAGCACCAATAATAACTCTGCCTCCCCCCTAATTTTATGGGAAGCTCTCCTTGCATATCTGAGGGGGCAAATCATTTCGTTTAGTTCAGGTGCTCGTAAGATGTATAAGGCTCAAGTAGATTCATTGGAGAAAGAAATTCGAGATCTGGAAAATGAATATAGTATAACATTTGATGACTCAACTCTGCAAAAATTAGACTCAAAACGATTGGAATATAACACCCTGACGACCCACAAAGCAGAAAACGCACTTAGGAGAACAAAACAAAACTTCTATAAACATGGAGATAAAGCAGGAAAGTTGCTTGCTTGGCAGATAAGGCGAGAGAAAGCTAGTAGAGGTATTATCTCTATTAAGCTGCCCAATAACACAGTTGTTCAGGGTTAGATGGATTCCCTATTGAATTCTATAGATCCTTTTTACCCAAACTAATTGAGCCTCTTTGCAATATGTTTAATTATGCCATAGAGACAGAAAAGCTTCCAGACACACTTGAACAAGCACTGATCACAGTTTTGTTAAAACCTGGGAAAGATCCTCTGCTTTGTGGGTCGTATAGACCAACATTTTTATTGAACACTTCATGTAAGATTCTTGCAAAACTCATAGCTCTTAGACTAGATAAGGTTCTTCCGGACTTGGTTGATATGGACCAAACAGGCTTTGTAAGAAACCGCTCATCTCCTGATAATATCAGAATATTATTTAATATTATGCATTATGTAGAGCAGGGTTCTTCAATTCCAGTCCTGGAGGGCCGAAACACCTCTGTTTTTCATCCTCTCCTTCTAATCAGGGGCTAATTCAGACCTGGGACACCAGGTGAGTGCAATTAACTACCAGGTAGAAATAAAAAACAGAAGTGTTTCGGCCCTCCAGGACCAGAATTGAAGAACCCTGATGTAGAGAATGACCAAGAATCTGTAGTGGTGGCTTCATTAGATGTGGAAAAAGCTTTGACCGCATAGAATGGAACTACCTGTTTGAAGTTTTATAGAGGATGAATATTGGACCTAAGTATGTCCGGTAGCTCAGATCCTGACTAAGGGAAGTGTTTCCTCCCAGTTCTCCCGATCACGTGGCACAAGACAGGGTTGCCCTGCTAGACCTCTCCTTTTTTCTTTGGCTATCGAGCCACTGGCAGAAGCTTTTAGATCTCATCCATCCATCCATGGTGTTTGTATAGGTGGGTGCGAACATTTGGTCTTGTTATATGCTGATGACATTTTGCTTACCTAACCTGAAATTTCACTCCGAGCATTAGTTGACATCCTGAAAGAATATGGGACCTTTCAGGATATAAAATAAACCTATCGAAGAGTATAATCATGCCTTTTAACAGGGCAGCTATGCAGAACCCAATCTCAGACCAGCCGTTTTCTTGGAGACCTCAGAAAATGACATAGAGGATTGCAAATTCCTTCTGAAATTATTAAGACATATCAACTGAACTATAATCCACTTCTCAAAAAGGTTGGGGAAGAATTGGATAGATGGTGGGATTGACCCATTTCTCTTAATGGGGGGGGTCAATTGTGTAAAGATTAATATTTTACCAAAATTCTTGTAACTTTTTCAAACCTTGCCCTTTCCTATTCCCAAAGTTTTTTTTCAAACAACTTAATAGGAAGGTCTCTTCATTTCTGTGGAAAGGGAAACCCCCCCAGAGTGAAACTCACAACTTTATGCAAACCATACTCAGAAGGAGGGCTTACTCTACCTGACTTCCAGTTGTATTACTGGGCATCTCAGTTGAAGGCTGTGTGGGTAGGCAAAATACGACAAGTTTACCCTCTTGGAGACAGATAGAGGAAGAGTGTCTTTCCCCTGTTTCATTGGCATCTATACCTTATAGTAGCCCACCTAAAGCTTTGCTAGGTCTCATAAACAACCCTTTCATTAAAAACACTTTAAATATATTGATTGAAGTCTGTAAACAAACAGAAGGGCATAGATCTATATATGAACAAACACATTTATATAATAACCCCATCTTACCCAACGCCCTGGGAGATGGTATTACATTTTCTTGGTTCAACAAAGGAATTAAAACATTTGGTCATCTGTATAGAGAAGGTGAACTTCTATCCTTTCAACAACTGGCATCTCATTTTCAGTTACCTCAAACTCATTTCTTCAAGTACCTACAGGTTAGGCATTATATTGCCACTCAGCAGGGAGGTAGGATTCAGCCCATGAGTAAACCTATAACTGATCAACTGTGGCTGGAGAAGAAAGGGGTAACATGTGCTCTAGTCTTCAAGCTCTGTTGGGGAACGATGAAGCTCTGAAGGCTTGCATGAAGTGGCATGATGACCTTGGTCTCATTTTTGAGGATGAGAAATGGGGAAAGCTCTTTTTTGATGCTCAGCATCTTTCATTTAACACAAGGCACAAGTTGGTGCAATTCAATATTTTACATAGGGTCTAATTTACACCAGAGAGACTGTATAAGATCAATTCAAAATATTCAAAATTTTGCCCAAGGTGTAAAACGGGGGTGGGCACACTTATGCATATGTTTTTGTCCTGCCCTGAACTAGGCAATTATTTGGAAGATATTATTCAGATCTTGTCACAGGTCACTAATATGACTGGACCACTAGATCCTTCCCTTATTCTTCTTGGCGAAGACTCTGTTCTACCAGTTAATATTGGTAGCAAAACCAGATTCATTAAATTGTCAGTCATTGCAGCCAATAAATGCACAGCTATTATATGAAAGAGTGACACTCCGCCAAGCAAGCAGATGTGGCTAAAATAACTAACTTCCTATATTCCATCTGAAAAAATAACGTACAATTTACGTAATAAACCCTTTGAATTTACTGATGTCTGGGGGGACTTTCAGCAGGTTCTAGAGTTGTCACCTTAGCTGCCTCATTATTATTATATTCATTAATCTATTATTATTATTATTATTATTCGTTTTTTCGTTGAATAATAAATGTTCTAGCATTGGATGTGAAGGTCATTCTGTTTCGTTTTTTTGTTGTTAATCATTGAAGCTAATACCGGTAGAGGGGAGGGAGGGGGGTGTTCATGTGTTGGGGAGGGAAGGGTGTTGCACGATGTGCTCCCATGTAGCATGCTGTTTTGTGTAGGTGGAAGGAATAACGGGGCATTATCTGTGTAATATTTTGATTGATGATTGTTAAATTGTAAAAAATGCCAATAAATATATTGCAAAAAACAACAACACTTTGTGTGTGTGGGTGTCCCTAACCTTGCCAACAGACAAAGAGCTGTGAATGGATAAGCGGTTCACCAATCAGGGCCTTGATTTGCTCGGCAGTCGTAACAAGGGATGGTGTGTAAAGAAACAAGTATTTTTCTTCCGGAGAACGTTTCTTTGGGACAATCAGGCGTAGTCCTAAAAATGTATTTAGGGACGTCCCTGGAAAAAGCTGGGAACTAGACAAAAACCTCCAGGGGACCATGACAGAACATCCTGTGTTTTAAATGTCCTTGGACACAGGAAAGTTCTTGCAATATTCCCATGAAACCTATCTAGAAAATTAATAACTTATATTCTGAGAGCATGGCAACCATGTTCTGTGTATGTTTGGTGTGACGTTGATGAAATACTCCTAACCCTCAGAAAACTGGATATGTGAATGTTCTTACAACGATACCATGAAACGTGTCTAGAACATTAATATTGAATATTCGGAGAACATGGTAACCACATTCTGGGTAAATTCTGTTTGACATTAAGGGAATGGTCTCTTGAAAACAGTTCTTGCACATCACTGGAACATTGCTATGAAAACGTTAGGTAATGACCTAATGAGACTCTTAAGGAAAAGTTCTCTAAAGTTTTGGGAATGTTTGTTGTTAGCTGGGGTGGCAGATGGGGCGGGCTTTGCACTTTTTGGGCCAGGCTAGCCCTCTTAATTTTTCTACATATACAGTAGTTGAAGTCGGAAGTTTACATACACCTAGGTTGGAGTCATTAAAACTCATTTTTCAACCACTCCACACATTTCTTGTTAACAAACTATAGTTTTGGCAAGTCGGTTAGGACATCTACTTTGTACATGACACAAGTCATTTTTCCAACAATTGTTTACAGACCGATTATTTAACTTATAATTCACTGTATCACAATTCCAGTGGGTCAGAAGTTTACATACACTAAGTTGACTGTGCCTTTAAACAG